AGGTGTTTGTATGTGTTCCACATGCATGCAGAGCCTGTGGAGGTCAGAGGAGACATCAGATCACTTGGGACTGCGGTTACAGGTGGTTGGGAGCTGCCACGTGGGTGCTGGGAACTGAACCTGGATCTTCTGCAAGAACAGCAAGTGTTCTTAACTACTGAGTTACCTCTCCAGCCATAATGTCATTTCTGAGTCATGAAATAATGACCTCAGAGAAGCAAGGGGAGCCAGCTCAAGCCTTTCTAGCCAGGTGCTCCTCATCAGTAGGAAACCAAGCCAAGAGCCATAGTGAAGAACATCCATGTAGTTCAGCCTTTCTCTTGAAGCTACCTGTGCAGTCAGCACAACCTCTGGAGGTGTGCCTGTGTGCAGAGGCTCACTCTGAGATGAGCGACGTGGTCCAGCTGCAGCCTTGAATGCTTAGATGAACTCACCCACTTCACACAAAGACACTGGGTTATATGGGTGAGTGGCTCCTTCATGCAGTGTCTTCACTGGTGTTTTCCAAGGTGGCTGGGCAATGCTCCCAGCCACGCTGACAGACAAATCTAACCAATGCTGGAAACCTCAGAACAGACTATACTGAACAGGGCATGACATACTTAGCCATGGCTGTTTGTCATCAACTATTATCAAATGAATTCTCCGTGTCTACTGAGTTGTTTACTAGATGCAAGGAATTAGTTTGTTGACACTAACAGTCAAGGGACAACTAATATATTCAGTGTTGTCTAGTGTTCCAGACACAAGAACTCACTGAGTCAGCAGGATGCTATCTGGCTGTGGACTGGCTGAGGTCATCCATGATTCTAATTTCTAGGGTTTCATTTATTTTATGAGGCTCCATATTAGATGGCAGGATCCTAAGGCCTACAGGATTCTACACCTGGGTGAGAGCTTCCATCTGGAGTCATTTAGTTGTGCGTTCCAACTGGGAAGCACTTAGTCACTGGGCTACAGTCTCCTCAGCCAGGATGATGCCTTCTCTTCACTTAGGAGCAGAGAGCTGTCTGGAGAAGGCCCGTTGCTACATAATACAGTTTTCCATGGAGTTTGTGTTTGCGCAGGTAAATACCTACCAGAGAACTGGGTGGGGAAGCCTAAGGACTTTTCCTCTAGCAGTTCTTCAAATTGTCTAAAGAGTCACCCCATATTGATGACAGGTCATTTTCTGATTCATCTCTACAAACACTTTTGTTATTAACCTTCATGGATTAAGTTTGAAAAGGGTGTACATATTCTAGAGCCACTGGGTTTAGGGGGCAAGGATTGTTAACCTCAGTCTGTAGGAAGGCCAGTCAGATGGCTCTAAGGGATCAGGAGGTTGTGTGGAAGTGTCCACACTGCTGTTGGAAGCAAAGAACTTGCTTTATTTACTAAACAGACACCTGATTCTACCAGTCAGTACTCCATTTTTATTTATTTATTTATTTATTTTACCAGTTAGTGATTCTTGAATGTAGCTCAAAGCTTGAAAGCTTTGCATTTGGACCCCATTCTTCCACTCAAGCTGAGGTGTTGGCCCAACTCTCAGACTCTTTTCTTGGATGGGTAGATGGACACTACTGTCCCTTGAATTCCCAGTACTTGTCTGACAAGGACTGGTGCCTGCTCCTGTCTCTAGGACAAGAATACAAGATACTTCACCAGTTCAATTTGAACTAAAGAGGGTTGAGGCCACTAGAAACTATAGCCTTGTATTAAGCACAGTTAGATTTTATGCTGTACACACGGAACAACCTGTAAACATCCATGTCATTTATTTTTTCCACTCTGGCAAAGGATAGCTCTGAATGTAGAGGGGGGTCTGAAAGTAATCTGAGGCATCCAGCAACCACCACCACCACCACCATCATCACCATCATCATCAGCTCTGAATGTAGAGGGGGGTCTGAAAGTAATCTGAGGCATCCAGCAATCTTCTTTCCTGGTGTTTCTACCACACACAGTACCTAGTGCATGAACGTGTAAGAAATATCAGCTTTGCTTGTAAAGGTTTGATGCTGCCCAAAGGATACAACTATAGGTCAGACCCACCCCACCCCCAATGGAAAACCTTGCTATGAATGGCAGAAGAAATGATGTGATTAAAAATATGAAACAGTTTGGCACTGGGCAAACAGTAGGTGCTTATGACTTGTTGTTTATCACTGAGAAAAACCAGAGACATAGGCTCAATGCTTGAGAATTAGAGGGCTTTCCCCTCAGTAGGAGGAGAGACAGTTACTCCTCCTGCCTCTGACTGTGGGTGAATCACTGACCCTAGTTGCCTTGGACAAGGCATGGACATTGGGAGAACCTCGGGGTGGACTCAGACATGAGCAAGGCTGCTTGGGCTCTGTCTCGACACTGCTACCTTCACTTCTTTTTGGAGTAGAACCAAACTCCAACAAGAAATTTCTGGGGGCTTTCACTACTTGTACTACTTAGCTCATGGTTGGGCAGAAAGGAGTGTATGTAGTATTTCCCCTTGTCCCACGTGGACATGTGAAATGTTCCAGAGATGCTCACTGAACTGTTGATTCTGAACTGTGTCTCTAGGAGGAGAATGCTGTGTGATTGGTCAGTACAGGTTCCCTGTGCATATCCTGGGGCTCTGTGTGAAGAGATAACACAATGAAGTCATCATTCCTGGCATGGCCCCCCAGAGAGGAGCTCCTTGGTGGAGAAGAAGTCAGGACCACAAAGAGGATGAACTTCCACTTGCTTCATATAGGGCCGCACCCTGGCAGGCTGAAACTTAAAAACTGAAAGATGTTCCAGCACATGATTTGTAAGGACAACACATCTTTACCCTTTGGGATTTTGAATCCTGGGAGAAGAGACAGACGTGAAAAAAATCACTGAACTATGTGCACAGTCTTGTTTTAAAATCCTCTGTGAGCAAAACTGAGCAAGGAAGAGAGGTATGAGAAGTTTGTGTGTCCCCAGAGTCTCCTGGGTGGGTGAGTATCACAGTTCCTCCAGGTTTGAAAGAAGAGTGGGGCTAGGGAGATGGATGGTATAGGCACACATCCCAGATAGGTGGTAGGTAGGTAGATAGATAGACAGACAAACAAACAAATAAATATATCCTATAGATGGGCACAAAATCCCAATGTACTTTCATCATGAGTCCACCACAGATGGTGGGTGGGTAGAGATAAAGAATGCCTTCTCTATGCACCCAGTCCAGATATAGCTCCTTTATCCTTCTAGGATGGAACCATTTTGAAGATATGATCTCCAAGGTAGGCATAGAAGGGGCTTAGAGAGGATAGACATGGGGCTCAGTTACAGGGCCTCAAGGAATTGGTGTATCACTACTGTCCTACTTGGTAAGGTGGTGTCATAAGGCTCTAGGCTCTAGTACTATGACATGAGATATGTGTTCTTTCTGCATTCCCAGTGGTGATGCTGATGATTTTTAAACATGTGGCAAACGTGCTGCACCGTCTCCGAAGGGGAAGGTAGGGGACTTCAGTCTAGGCAAAGCCTCAAAAGAAAAAGAACTGGATGTGCGGGCAACATGGTGACATTCTGGTTATGGTCATGGTTGAGGTTGCACAATAGAAGGCTAAGAATAGATGAAGGTGGGCACAGAGCTATGTGGAACACAAGTAATGGGCACTTTGGATACTCCCTTGGACAATGATTGGCAATAGAGGTGTGAAAATCAAAATAGGCATGGCCATTTTAGTGCACAGATGGCAACCCACCAGCACCATCTGAAGACACAGGCTGGCAATGGGGTTGCCTTTAGAAGCCTATCACAAAAGATCTTGTAGACAAGGGCATTTGGGGTTTATATAGTCAGGCATCATGGAGGGAGATAAGTGGACAGCTTCAAATATTTCCATTTAGAGAGACAGACCAGATGTTAGAACATGACAGGAAAAGATCACTGAGAAACAGAGAGGTAACTACTAAAAGTAAATCCTGGTCTCATATCCCCCAAAGAACCCATAATTTCCATCATCACCTTCATTGCAATCATTACTATCACCATGATCATTGCTTTTGGTACCATCATCATCTCTATCACCATTACCATCAACATCATAATCACCATCATCATCCCTACCACAACCATCACTACCAATATCATTATCATTGTCACCACTACCACCATCATCCCCAAGAGTATCATCCATCATTCCCATCATCATCATCATCATCATCATCATCATCATCATCACTATTATCACTGCTACCAACATCATCACCATCATCATCTCCATCACCACCACTATCAACATCATCATCACCATAATCATCCCCATCACCACCATTACCACCAATATCATTATCATTGTCATCATCACCATTTTTCCCACCAATATCATTATTCCCATCACCATCCTCAGTTATCAACATCATCACCCTCATTGTCATCACCACATTATCATCATCATCACCACCAGCACCACTACCACCATCATCATCATCATCACCACTACCACAACAACATCATCGATGTCATTGTCACCACCATTATTTTCAGGAGAAAGATGTTCAGAGGAAAGGCTGGTGATAAGCAGATGCAGCTGGTCTAAAACTGAAGAGCACAAGTCCTCTTCATATTGCCAGGCATGATCCTCCCTGGATCCACTTCTACATTCTCTCTCTGTGACATTTCATCCTATCCCTTTGCCAAATTAAATCCATGTAGGCCAGCATCTAGAGGTCTGTATAGCTTGGATCTTGCCTTTAAATTCAAAACTAGCATTTTTGGTGACCAACTAGAAAACACAACTTGGGGATATCCTGGTAGCACCTCTGGTATCTGTACAGCACTGTCTGGAAGCTTCCTTCAAACCTGTGCTCTTCTTCCCCCAAAATAGAGACCCCTCCTTAAGCCACATCATTGATGACCACATCCTGGAGTCCTGGGCCTGTTTTCTTACTGGCCTCTCTTCTGTCACTATTCCTCCCCATAATCATGCTGATGCCTTTTTCTAGCTATTATGACTTTATAGCTGGGATGACAAATTCCCTGGGTTACTGACACAATACTTGGTCTCTCCAACATAATTTCTGCAAAACAGCCAGATGACCTTTTAAAAATGCAGTTGGACAGTCTTGATCATGCTATTCTGGTCTCAGCATCCCTAAAGAGTTCCCATCACTCCTCAGTGAAATCCCATTGGGACTCTGACTTAGCTAGAACTCTTCTATATTGTGCTCCGGGTGAGGGTGACCCAGGGCTAACCATGCATCTCCCCAATGAGCTGGGGTCCTTCCTGCCTGAGATTTGTGCTTGCTGTTTGAAATGTTCCTCAGTGTGCCTCTCTTCACTTTTCCACAGAACTCTGTTGCCTTCTGGAAGCTATTTCTGACCTTCCAGATGAATGTGGACCCCTGGAATGCTCTTGCCCAGAACTCTTTACTAAAAGTGACTACAATGAGCAGCAAACAGGCACCTGTGTGGTTGACATTTTCCTGTGACTAGAAACTCAGGAAGGACCTGGATGCCCTGTGACCTTCCTTACTACTAAATTCGCCATTTTAAAAATCATGGCTGTGGGGCTGGGAGGGTTAATTAGTGGGTAAGAACAGTTGCTGTGCTAGCCAAAACCTGAGTTAAAATCCTTATTACCCTTGACTGCATGTACCTGTCACTTCAGCATTGGCAGCAGGGAGAGATGGGTCTGGGAAGCTCTCTGGACATCCTGCCTAACTGAAATCATGGGTTTCAGTTAAATGAGAGACCCTGTCTGAAGGGAATAAGGCAAGGAGTGAAAGAAGAAGATATCTGATGTCTTCTTGTATACCCATGTGCAAACATTTTGTGTGTGTGTGTATGTGTATGTGATGACAAGACACACAGTGGAAAGAGGTCACATGCAATTAAGATCAACAAGGTCCTAGAATTTTCTCTGAGGTGTTAAAAACAAAATTTAAGGAATGGTTAAAAGAATAGGAAGATTAAAGGAAATGTAGATTGATAAAATACATGTAATGGATATAAAAAGAATCCAGAGAATAATTTAATCATTAACAAATGTTAAGAATAAATACAAAACAGAAAATCCAATATATCAGGAAGTAATATACCACAGGAATATATGCACTTGTTCAGGTGTGATTTCTTCAAATGTGAAAGTGTAGGAGAAAGGCAAAAAGCTAGAAAAACACACAAGTGTGTCAACAATAGTAGAAAGCTGCTATAGGCAAACCAGTGTTAAATGAGGAAAGTGGGGTTTAGGTCAAGAAAATGCATTGGAAATGCAAGGATACAGGTTTAATAATGGCAAAAGTGTCACACAGGAGGAGGACACCCCAGCATCATAGTGACCAGGCAGGGATGCTACTTCAAAATGAGCAGAGCAGTACTTAGAGATGGACCATGGTGATGGACCATGGTGGGAAATACAGCAGAATCTTTTCAGCAACAGCCATGACCAGCAGCAGTAACTCGGGCCAGACTGTAGGGGACTCAAACTGGAGGAAGCAGTATGGGCCAAGAGTATCTATAAATACTGTCTCTGAGGGTAGCACACCCAGAGGTTGTTCCTGAGGACACTGGGGCCATTTGCCAAACCTCCTTTCATCTGGAATGAAAACCAATTATGAACTCTCTAATTCATAATGGGGGTTTTGAGTAGACTTTGTATCAGTCAAATCAAAGGAGCACTCAGAAATAACAACATCACTATAGGATTCCCAACATCTGGAATTTAAAATAACAAACTCTGAGAAATGAAATGTATGTACTGATCTGAATAAAAATAAAATGCATTGATGTTTGCAAGGGTTATGTCTGTGTTTGGAAAGGAATCTGTGTCCCATAGATGTACTTCTGTGTCTAGTTATAACATAGCCACAGAATTTGAAATAGTTAACTACGCAAACATAAGCAGAAAGTGGTTGGTTCCTCCCATAACAATCGTACCACTATTGCATCAGTGGGCACGTCTTGCCAGGACAGTCATTACTGTAGTTTGCAGGGTTCACAGCTGGGTAAACCGATGATTACTTTTCTCCCCCTGGTGGCACACATAGCACCCTCTAGTGCTTTAAAAGCTAGCCAGGAGCGATGATACTTCTAGGTCAGTACCTGTTTGGTTTCTCCATGTCCTATGACTCAAGCACATGGCATGTTCAGCAATCAGTTCTTCCTGTCAACTTCTGAAGGGTAATCAAGAACAATGACAATAGCTTGTAATGTCTAGGCCCCAACAGTCAAGAGTGTTTGGGCAACACACACTGGATTCAATTCGTTTAAAAGAGGGAGAGAGAACATGAAGATGGGTTCTTAGGGAATTGTGGAGTGGATCGGGGGAGCAGTTGGAGGAGAGGGAATGAATATACCCAAAATACGTAGTATGAAGTTCTTAAAGAATTGATACAAACAAATCTTTAAATAAAATGTAATACACTCAGAATGTGCTCAAATATGAGTAACATGTGGACCCAGATCTTAAGCTGCTAGCAGAGTAGGTGAGGCCTTTGTAAGGAACAAGTTAAGAGAATTTGTAAAGGATTAGCCTCAAAACATTTAAGCTTCTGAAGACTGAGGAAAAAAATATAATTAAAATCCACTCATAGTGTAGACACATCTTTGAATTAATTATTGTTTCACTCTACTTCACAGATGGAGATGGGAAGTGATGTGATTTGGAGGTGTGTACATGGTCACACAAAAGGATCATAACTCAAAAGCCCTGACACAGGCTTCAGATGTTAGGATCAATCTCACAGAAAGACTCATGATACCCAAGGCCTGACAGCCTCCTGTGGCCTCAGGGGCAAACATAGTTTCCTCTGAGTTCCCCATCCACTTGTCTGTTGTGGTGAGGAGCCAGAGGTCTCATGGTGTAGGTTCTATGTCCAGGATTGATGGCCCAACACAAATGGCATCTCTCAGAAATGCCGACTGCTGAGTAGTGCAAGCAATTCCCAGGGTGCAAAATTCCAAGATTTGTTACTACAGACAGAGATTAGAAAACAAAATATGGTGAAATTAAGTTTAAGCCTCAGAAGGCTTCGGCACTAGCAGGACCATTCTGGAAATCTCATTCATTCTCATCAAACTCCATTTTCAACAGGATCTAGACAAGGGCTAATGGCAAGTAAAAACTCGAGTTATCTCTGACTTGAACTAAATAGAATCTCCCAGACAGTGAGCCCCTGGGAGGTATTTGTGAACTAGTTGAGAGTCTTCATGCTGGGCCTGATAGCTCCACGAAGTAGATAATGCAGTGAGTGCTGCTTTATTTTGTGTGGATCAAACAGAGATTGGCTCCCATGGGTTTAAGTACGTGGTGCAGGTGCCCAACTCTGGCCTGGCCTAACCCCAGAGGCCTGTACATTTGTCAAAGGTGGATGGCACGTGAGCCAAGGTATATGGAACCTATAGGATGGAGGGAAATGCAGAGGGCCTTCTGTAATCCACTTGCCAATACTCACAGCCTTCGGCATTCTCCCCTCTGCATACATGATGCTCCCAATGCACAGAGGGTGGCAAGGTGAAGGATAGCTGTTTCTCGATGTGATATTCTGTTACATAGGTCTCCATCTTGACAGCAGACCACAGATCTTCCCTTTACTTGGCCAACTGTAGCACTTGTGGTGAACCCTGTTTATGTAGGTGATGAGGACAGATGGCTTCTGGGACTGCGGGTGGCTCCCAAATTACAGTTAGAAGCTACATGCTTGACCGGGTCACAGGACACACATTCTTCCAATGTCCAGAGGGGATTGCAAGCAGAGCTTCCATCATCCAGGCATCTAGATGAGAGGTTGGCTGGGTCTGACATATTGATTGCAGCATTTTGAAATCTTGAGCTGAGCATTGAGCTTGGTGATAGCTGGACTTCTCCTGGTTTGGAGAATCTGGAGCTAGCAAACTCAAGTTACTTAAGCTGCTAAGCGTGTGTTAAGTTTGTATGTAGTAACAGATAACTAATGCCAAGATAGGGGCATCAAAGTATGGAGATATGGGGCATGCAGGACTGCCTGTCTCACTGAGTGACGTGGGGGGAGGGGCAGCAGAGGGCTAAAACCCAGAATGGACAGGCTCAGATACGAAAAGATCCTTGGCTCAGGCCAGGCAGTTAGTTAGCGTGGTAGAGAGCTTGCCCAATATGCTTGAGTTCTTGGCTTTGATCCCAAGCACTACATACATCAGGCATGGTGACCTAAACCTATACAATAGTCTGGGCACCAAGTGGATAGAGATAGGAGAATCAGAAGTTCATGGTCCTTCTTGTGTACCAACACTTGTGTGTCCTACTCAGGAAGATACTGCAAGCCAGGCCAGATCATTTGGGTGGTGATCACCCAGGATGTGGCAGGAGAAGCAAGAAGTAGATTACTGGGGGGAGATACTGGGAGTTTCTGGTTCACTTGTAGCCCCAGATGCCACTTGCATTTATTGCCTACACAAACAGGTCTCCGTATAGAAAAGCCAAGAAAAGAGAGTATCTGTGGTCTGCTGTCAAGATGGAGACCTAGGTAACAGGATATCACAGCAACGGTGAGTAGGTGTTTGGTGATGCACTGGGCTTGGGGTGTAGGAAGAAGAAGGCAATGAGTGGTGACCCTGGACTCCTGACTGATGCCCTGAAGGGATGAGCAGGTGTGCCTGTCACTGCCATGGTAAACGGCTGTGGAGGGAGGGACTGAGGGTTCTCTATTGGTCTCAGCAGCTAAGCAGACCTACAGTCTTTTGAGTCTGGAGTCTTTTGTGTGTGGTGTGAGAAGGAGCTCCAGTGTGGGTTGGCAGAGCAGAGCTTCTGCTCAAGGCCAATGAGGCCACTTAAAGAGGGAGCCTCCATGAAAGGGTGAACAATGACCCTGAGCTCTCTGGATGTCCTGGAAGAAGGTGGACTCTCATCGGCCACAAGCCAGAGTTCAAAGTGGAGACATCCCCTGTGTATACACATGAAATACTTGGTCCTTGTCCTGTGTAGGAAGCAGCATGACCTCCATGGACTACAACAATCCTTGCAAACCTCTGGCTTCAGGTATACACACCATGAGCCGCCCCTCTCCACCTTGAGTCTGTTCAAGAGATTAGGAAGTTCACGAGGATCCAGGGGCTCCCAGAGTGCTAGAGGTGAGGGGTGCCTCTCTGAGGCAGGGGAAGGAGAGTAAAAAAGATGGTCCTCTTACCAAGGGCTTCTTTGCATACACTCAAATGCAAGGAGACATGTACTTTTAAATCCAGATCCTCAAATCCATCACAGACTGTCAAAGTGCCTCTGTGTTCAAAGTCTGTTCCCATCAGATGTTGCTGAAAATAGCCCCGTGCTGACCAGTTGCAGCTCTTATATAAGATTTAGTGCTGTCCTCAGCCCACACCTGTCAGGGATGTGATGTGACAGGCTGTGTTGGAGCAGCTCAGGGTGATGGATTTCCAGCTAAATGAGAGGTGACTCTGTGAGCACACGGGGACACACCCTGGCAGGCAAGCTTGGTTCTGCCTGAATGTTGGTGGCACAGATGAGGCTCCCACAGGTCCCCCTGGGCAGCTGCTGGGGTCTGTATGTGGTGTCATAGCTTTGGCTGCCCTTATAATGGGCCAGGAGCAAGAACTATAGGTTCAAAGCAGACCTCCCACCTGCATCAGACCAAGTTCTAGGGACACCCATGGGCACCACAGCCATTTTTTTTTGTCCTGGACCATGTCACAGCCACAGGATGATATGGTTTTTCCACACCATGAATCATGGCCAGGGCCAGAGCATCTAGAGATTCTCATGTTCTGCACCAACCAGCGAACTTCTCTCTAACTCAAAGACCCCAGAAGCCAGAACTGGGTACCTGCCAACCTTTCAGATATTCCTGGTCCCTTTTAAGGCCCCCATCTCTGCTCACCCTCACCTGGGAGTTTTCCCAGCCTAGTTACAGTCCTGGTACCAGTGAAGACAGGTGGTCAGGGTCATTTCCAGGCCACAAAGCAGAATCTAAGGCCAACAACCCAGCTGTCCCCAAGTGCTCAATACACTCACTCAGTACCTGTCCCCACTGTCTATCATATCCCTATAGCTGCAGACATATATCTCAGGCAATTCAGACATAGCCATCCCTCTTGTCTCTGGGGGTACAGTCTGTAATGGTTATAAAGATATATGTGTATATTTTAATACATTTAAAATTAAAATATAATTGCATCACTCCCCCCTTTCCTTTCCTCTCTCCAGCACCTCCCATTCTCAAATTGATAGCTTATTTTTCTTTGACAACAGATATTCAATACTTTTTATATATGTATATATGCATATTTGAAGAAAAATACACATACAAATATATAAATGTCAGCTTGTCATCACCTAAAATCACCTCAAAGGAACCTCAGTGGAAGAATGTCAAAATCCAGTTAGCCTATCAGCATGCATATGGGAGATTTGACCCTTGACACAGCACACTTTAGATGGCGGCATTACTTCCTAGTTTTGGGCCCTGGGCAGTATAAGAGAAGAGCAGAGAGGTCTAGCTTGAGTACTAAGCACCCAGAAAGTAAGGCTGCATCTATTCTCTCTCTGCTTTTGGCCATGGGTATGGCATGACTAACTGCTTGAGTCCCTGCCTTGATGCTCCTGAAGTGACGGATTGCAATTTGGGATTGTAAGACAAATAAACTCTTTCTTCCACAAGTTGCTTTTAGTCAGGGTAGTTTATCACAGCAACAGAAAGCCACCTAGGACAATGGTCTGTGACCCACAGAGAATGGCTGACACCTCAGGTACAGCCAGGTCCTGGTTATCTGAAGCATACAGACTAATGGCAAACG